CATGATCATATTATGATCATGACTGATAGATGGTGATCTGATACTGATCAGATGGTGATCTGATTTAAGATATAAAGTGAAATTGTTTGTTATGATCATCATAACAAACAATTTCACTTTATATCTTAAATGTTATGAAAATTTTAATACCAGTTTCAATTCACTAGCTGATTGACCAGCAACAGCCAGTTATTTGCCAACCTCGGAATCGACACTTTTGACGCTAGACGAAGGAAACAATTGTATTCTTTTGTCACTCGGCTTCTTCATAGTGACAATACGATCATCTCTACGCTAGTTCATTCTGACGGCTACTACCTCAGCTCATTCTGGAGGCATTACATTAACCTAGTTTTTAAGTAGTTTCTTTAGGTATAGCTAGATTATCGTGGTATTATTTATTGTGTTTGTTACAACGCCTCCATTTATTTTTGTCTGTCTGTTCGCAATGTGATATGGGCCAGGGGCCTGAATTAAAGAATAAATAAAATAAAATAAATAAATTCTGAAGGGCAATGTATGTTTATAACATAGACCAGTCCAATCAGCAAACATGAATAGAAACCCACTGTGCACTATATACTAGATGTAACGTTAGCACATAATCATTTGGGGTCATATGCTGGACACTGTCCTGGGTGACTCAGTCACACAATGACCAAGTTGACATCAGAAAAAGAAATGATGGTGTTGCCAAGTGACCCTTGGCATCTGAAACACAGAGCCCTGGTTCTTTCCTTCTACTTTAGAATTTATGACTTCCTGACTTTGAATGTTCACCATGAAACTACACAGAAGCACTGTACTGATTTTTGTGGGAGCAAAAGTGACCATTGACACATCCACAGTCAGTGAGTTGTGTGGGTGTGTCATCAGTGAAAAGGGGACTTTGACAAGTCATATTTATTCATTGCTTAGGCAAACCAAGGACATGCCTTGGGCAAACTGTAGCTAGTAACTGCTATTGTTAAGGACTAGCCCATTTATTTGGGAGGAGTTTGAGTTTGATACCCTTTAGAAGTAAACCACAGTATGGAGAAGACTAAAGTCGATTTCTCCTCTGCAGCATATCCATTGGAACGATCCACGGCCATGCACAAGCTGAGCCCAACCTGTGTCTCCTGTGGATCGATGCCCATGCAGACATTAATACCCCACTCACCACCCTGAGTGGAAACATCCACGGCACACCACTTTCCTTCCTGGTCAATCAGCTGAAAGATGCGGTGAGTTTTTTTTTGTTTACTTCCGTACAGTCTCAGTCTTTGATGATCTCTGACTCTGTAGGGTTATAGCTTGCATACTCCAGAACTTTGAAATTCTATCCACATTTGACACCACATTATTCAAGTCTTGCCTTTGACACAATGGAGTAATTGTTGTTGCACCAGCATTATTAGTCTTTCCATGGAGGTATAACCATGGTCTTTCCTTCCTGTATACTTCTTGCCATGATGTCAGTGGTAGCAGGAAAAGTATTGTTGGTTACTGATCATCTTCCTATTTCTATTGGCTAACAGATCCCATGGGCAGCCCTGACACCATTTGATTGGCTACAGCCATGGTGAGTGATGAATTTTCTCCTAGAGCTCGTTACTTCTGTCAGATTTATTTCACAGCTGAAAAGCATACCACTTGTTTGACTGAATACTGATGTTATTGCCTTAGTCTGGCTTCCATACTTCAATGAAGGAGTGTGAATGCCCAATTATTTTGCGTATGTATGTTTCAGCCTCAACATCACAGACATTGCCTTTGTGGGTCTGCGTGACCTGGACCCGGGCGAGCGGTAAGTAGACTGTCAGCGAGGAGAGAGGTAACATTAGCTTGTTATATTTCTCGGTCTGCTTATTAACTTATAGAGAAACTGAGATAAGAAAATTTGGGTTTTCAATTAATACTGTTGTTAGAGGATCTTGACAAGCATTGTGCTCATCATTCGACATGACCTTCACCCTTGACGTGACCTTGACCCCTTCTACAGATACATTCTGCAGAAGTTCAACATCACCAGTTTCTCCATCCATGAGGTGGACAGATATGGCATCCACGAGGTCATCGCTAGGTCGTTGGATGCTGTTAACCCAAAGTGAGTAGGATAGTTAAATGCCTTATGGTCGGTAATTCATCATTGTCATCATGTTCTGTATCTGTATAGCTGGTATAACCACACTTCAGTGTAACACACCAGCTTTGCAGGTATGCAGTGTAGCAGTAGCTGGCTTTTTATACAAATGTATTACACCTTTACACATCTGCTTTCCCGGACTCTTATTTCTCCAAGAGTCTGTGTCTTTTATAAAGTTCTTGTGATGTCCTGGACCTGTGACATGCTGTATATTGACATCACATTGGTCAAATTTCATCATTTCATTAATGTGAAAATTCTGTTTTCCTACTCAGAGGGGACCGTCCAATCCACATGAGTTTTGACATTGACTCTGTTGATCCTGCAGTCACAGGTGCCACAGGAACTCCTGGTAAGCTGCTGTTTTCTTGTTTATTTTGTAGCCTGGTGTCTATTTTGTCTCCATTCTGCTCATGATTGCTTACTAGTACCTGCTGAGTAGTCTGTTGTCAATCCCTATCTAGACCTTTGAAATAGTAGAAGCAGGTATCAAATATTTCTTAGAAGCAGTGTAATGTGGATGATCAAACTTGTTCAGACATGGAAAAGAATATGTATATGATGAATCACTTATGTGGTAGCATTGCCTTGACCCTAACGCTATTCTGTGCTCTTCAGTTCCAGGTGGTCTGACATTCCGAGAGGGGATGTTCATCGCTGAGCATGTGTACAGGACAGGTAGGTCAACTGGGAAAACTATATTACATGCTTGTTGGACTGGGACTCCCCTATGTTCCGACACCACTACATTCTGATATAGAGTTACGGTTGTCTGAACACTGGTTGAGTTGTCGTAACATAGGGGTGTAACCTTCAGCTTATAGAGTTGTAGAGTCATAGCCTTGACTGCCGTATTAATGTGCACTGTGACATGAACACATTTTAATCCACCCTCCTCCCCACAGGTCTTCTGTCAGCCCTTGACCTTGTAGAGGTGAACCCAGAGGTGGGGAGTCGACAGGACAAAGCCAACACCGTCATGACAGCAGTGGAGGTTCTCACAGCTTGTTTGGGGAAGAAGAGGGAGGGCAACTTACAGCCGGGGTATGAGCTCCCCATGCCTTAGGGTGTTCAACAACCTGAACTGTGTTTCCTTTCTGTTACAAATGGTCTCTTCCAAAGTGAATACTACATTTACAGTGGGACAAAGAAGATAACATTTATTTTGAAGCGTCCACATAATAAGATGATGCTAATTAACATATAACGTTATAACTATACTGTACATGGTATATCCAAAGGATTATAGGTTAATATCAATAACCTGTGAAGAAAACTGTGTTAGTGTTCCATGTCTGTCCATGTAGCGTGCTGTGGAATAGATCTATACTGAAGAACTCTATATATTTTAGACATGAAGTATGTTGATTGAAGTTCCTAGAGGTGACAGTGTTGTATTTTATGGGTTTATTGGACTTTAAAGTCTGAATATTGAGATATTTTCATTGTCATTTAATGTTAAATACACATATTCACACAAGGTTTTGTAACATTGGTTAGAATTTAAGAAAACAGATACTAGTAACAGGCCTTTTGAAAGGTGAGGCCATGTCAATTTATTATCTTGGTTCTCAGACATTCAACCTTGTGCCTCGGCAAGAGATCAACATGAATCAGACTATTTTTGCCACATGAAACTGGCGTGCTGTCTTCTCAGATTCTGTGTTCATGTAGAATTTTCCAGTACATCATGTTGTTTTAAATCTGAGAACCAACAAATTGAATTGGAGTGGCCAGGAGTGCCGTGGGCCAGGTTGTCATGTCAGCGGCCAGTTCCTTCAGTAGAAACACCTGCTGGCCCGGGTGTGCTGTGCCTCTCGTACCTGGATTATGTGATCTGATGTGCCTCACCTGAAGTCATTCTCATGAAAGGATGGGTATTGAAGAGATGAGGCCGTCATGTAGTAGCAGTTAGTCAATGCTTCTCATATAAAATAACGTTGTAGGAACCATTCCTATGTGCTGAAGGAAATTTTGATTAGTCCTGTACTTGTATTTGATACAATACACCACTCACCCCACCCCACCCAGGTGTAAATGGGTACCTGACTTTGGTTGGAGAGGTAAAAGGCAGCGGAAGGAGAGGGATGGGCTCTGCTTTCCTGAATGCGTCACAGTGATTAACAATTGATACCTTATTGCCTCATAAGGGCTATTGGACCTTTACCTTGATTTTTAATGTCCTTGCGTTGCTTTTGTGAAACTGAAAGCCTTTTTTCATGGCTGTGCTTAAATTAACTGCTAATTAGGTGCAATGAAGTCGTTTTGAGTTGCAATTTTAAGTAACACCACTAGAGTGTACATGCAGTATATTTTAGGGAACAATGCAGTGAGGATGGATTCTGATGCTTTTGTTTGCAACTGACCAATGTTGTTTGTGATTCCTTATTCTGGTGTTTACTTCAGAAAACTGTGTCAACTTCACACTGACACAGAAAGCATTTGAGAGATGTAATTTTTGGTCATCAATGCTCAGCTGACCATGCGTACAATCCTGTTAAGTGCTAGCAAGTATGGAAGCGAGCTTTAACTTAGTATGGTAGGCTTGACTTTGATACACCATCTTTTTTTATTTCTCCTGGGCAATCAAGCTCATGCCAAATCATTGTGTTGCTCAGTAAGTTTCTATAAAAACTAGAAGATCTTTGCCTACCATGAGAGCAATGGCAACAACAAGAAAGATTCTCCTGCTTAGACATGAATGAAGACGATTGACACTAGTTTCTTTTTGGTGCATATTTCATTGTTTGGTGCATTTTCTGAGCAGAATTAAAAGGGTGTAATGTTACCTTATTTTGTTTGCCTGTCTTTGTGTTCACTTGACACTTGTCCAACAAGCTACCTTTCTAAGTTAAAAACATTGTAATATACTATGAGCTCTATTCAATTTTAAGTATAAATCTATGTGGGAAATAAAGATATAGAGGGTCTTTGGAGGCTTGCTCCAGATGAAATTCTTTCTGAACCTATATACAACCTATAAAGCAGCTACATGTATCTAAATTTACAGGTATATGTATATATAATACAATGTACATGTATTTACAAATACACTAGTAGCAATCTCCCCCAGGCACACTAACGCTCCCAGACTGACTAACGATGGGTATTGCACTACAAAAACAAGATAACGATGAAGATATGACATGTATGTACAAAGTCATTGCACACTTGTTCTTATGGTATCAAAAATAAGTTTGCTTTCTGTTGGAGGAATATGAAATATCAATGTTTCGGACTAAGCTTGTACAAGTGTCTGCTGGCTTTTAGTAACCCTTTTTAGGATTGTCCGTTTCCAATAATTCCAGACCTTACGTTGGAGCGAGAAAACTTTTTTTAATTGCTGTTATATTACCCGTGCCCCGTTAGCCTTGTCAAACGCGACCATCGCCTTACAGTTGGGCTTGTGTCCGTGTCCCCAGTGATGTGTCTGGCACGCTGTGCTGCAGTACCTGGCGAGACCGCACGCAGCGCACATCTTGAATTTGCTGCCCGCCTCGATGTTAGAACACTCCGAAGAGGAACACACCACTGGGAATTGAAAGTACTGCTTGTAGCTGTCCCTACGTCTTTTGGTGGATTGTGGGAGCATTTTCCCGCGTCTTAGGATGGAAAGAAGCCAGCCCACTGCTTGGTGCAGTTTGTACCGCACATCGCCAGGCGCCGCTTCCCTGTGTCGTTTCCATACTTCGGACAGCTCCCGTTCTATCTGTAAGTAAGTCTTTGAAAAGTAAGTCTTGAAAATCGATAAAATATAGGTAAGAAGACAATATGATAAACTTGATAGGCTCCGTCAAATGTTATCAACTAAAATAGATATACTAGTAGTACTCTGGTGTAAATGAAAATTTGCCGCATCAAAAGGGGGTTTGTTCTGCGCTGGTATTGCTTAGATCCACTCTCCAAGCAGAGGTTTGGTGGGGAAAATTGCTACCTTAATATATATCCCCCATTCTTTCTAATAGCGAAAGAAAAATCGGTGCATATATAGAAAGGTAACAATCTTCCCCCACCAACCTCTATTTGGAAATCACTTAGAGCAGTGAGGATAAGCTGAATTTGCGATCACCGAAACATAAGGATTTAAGCACATAACAATGTCGCCCTATAGCGTTTTGCAAGTCCCCAAACAAGATGAATCAGTCGGGGATTGTTTTTTTAATCAATTTACTAAGTATGTGATTATTCTATCTTATATATTTCAAGTACAATGTGCGTGCTTCAGATCAGTTGCCCACTTAGCCTGAAAGTAATGTTAAAGGGGTTGTCTAGATGTCTAGGATCCACAATTTAGGGATGGATAAGTGAATATGTACGACGATAACTCTGTTACTAGTACTGACCTTTCTCACACACTGCCAGCACCTCTCATCCCCGATCTCCACTACCAATTGAAGCAAGTGCACCATCAGGACCTTGTCCTTATATGGGCACCAGGGGACGTCTTGGTTCCCGGATAGGATTCTCCCCAACACCGGGACGGCTCCGGACTCGCACAGGGCCAGGGCGTGTCTCTGACACCCGCCGGCCAGTAACATGGTGTGCACGAGGGTAGCTCCGATCCTCCTCTTTCTTACGGCCGCATCTCGCCCCCTGATGTCTGTGATGACGTCAACTCCCCCAGAAATAAGTCTTAAAAGAGGCGGAAGCAGATGGGAGAAGTAAGTGGACAGCTTTTTGGCGCCGGGATAGTACACCGAGATGTGGCACAACGTTTCTATCTGCTTGCTAGACGGGTGCATTTGGGTTAAGACCTGACCCAATAACACAGGTAAGCACTGTTCCCCTAGACACTGGTGAAGCCGGCAGTTCCCGTACCTGGTGCGGCACACCTGGCGCAGTCGGGGGTCGCCGCTGACGTCGACGTAGCCGTACTTCTTCAGGTGCGATGCGACTACAGAACGGACGTCGACTCCTTCCGAGACGAAGACTGACATTATTTCTATTTCATTTTTTCCCACGCCGTGTCGAGGTACCACCTGTTAGACCGCCGAAGTGGGGAATGGGAAGATTGCAAGGCTGCTCGGAGATAAATACATAGGAAGCCGCTCTGATTGGGCGACCTTGTGCGAACGTACCACTCAATTAAAGGGTGGTTGAATGGACTGGTGTTACCTAAACTTAAAAATCAAGTTCACAGGTATTCCTGGAACCTGTATTGTAATAGCAAGTATGATAATGAAAACGCATGCGATCAAGAGTCTCGGGTTTTAATCGATATGTTGAAACTGCTGCACCCCTCCATCCCAGATGGCACAGTCCATAGAACAAAGCTTGTTGGTTTGTCACTTGATCGTAGCCGGTAGCCGGGGTTATAAGAATTTTCCAACACAGTTGAAAGGTTGACTTAATGAGGCAAATATGACATCAGTATAGGCTTTCTATCATTTATCTAGTCCTACGAAACAGCTAAATCCGCTATGATACATTCAGAACAGCGAGCAATGACTAGAATACGGTGGTATAACTTGTGCAACAGTGTCACAGTGTTAGTCTTAGTGTTGACGTTAGTCAGGACATGGATCATACTTTCCCAGGTTTGTGAATGATCTGCATAGACGAGAAGCGTGTTCGTTATCATATAGATGATCATTCATATCACAACACGGGGGTCTCGTGTACTAAGTTAACTAACAAAAGTAAATGTTTCCCTGCGTGCGTACCAAGGGGTTCGCCGGCGCGGCGAACGCGTTAATTTCTTTGCGCGAATGGGTGCATTCTGGGACGGACAATGGCATTACTACGAATAACAGGTTCAGCAACATTCATGCAAATGACCGGTTTATGAGGGGAAAGGTCGAAGGGAAAGTGTTTTATCTCGGCCCAACCTTAAGGCTGGGTCCTGTGGAATGCTGAGAGCATAGGCGGTTTCTGAGAAGTATTAACTCAAATGCAGCCGCTTACGGTGTCCGTAGAAACGTCCACGTGTCTTTTGAAGGTGAGACAAGTCGCTTGACGTGCTGCGACGTCTCAAGGGGAGATATGTAATCTCCAAGCAGATCTTTTGGTGGGGGTAAGACAGTATTAAATTGTCCAGTCTGTAACCCAAGGGTGGGGAAATGGTTACAGACTGGCCAATTTGATACTGTCTTACCCCCATGCACCAAAAGATCTGCTTGGAGATTAGGAGATATGCATATGGGCGTTACACTGTCTGTCCTGATTGTTGTGGTAAGTCACTTTTCAAATCGTTGCTAGCCTCATTATCAGACAAGAGGTTCCGTACCAATAAGGTTTTACAGCGTGTGGGGTCAGAAACTCTGTGTGTGTGTGGCTATGTGTTGCTTTATTTTTTCCTTTATTGGTTTGTCTGTCTATATACACGGCCATGTCTGTCTATATACACAGCCAGTTTGAACGGCTCTCGTGAATCCGACTTCGTCAGCCCAAGATGCCGCCGTGCGCCTATGTGGACGGAGACCTCCTGATCGTCAAGGCGGTCTACTTCTTCTTTTTCTCTGGTAGGTTTCCTTTGCAAGCACGGAGGTAATGTTATGTTGAATTGTTGGATTACGATCATTTGATATATTTCCTCATTTTCGGGAAGCCAGAGAAAAGAATTTTAGTAGATTTTGAAATCCACCGGTTCCGACTTGCATAAACAAGAATTCGTAGATCTCATACCTCCATGAAATATATGCGTTTTGTAAATGACATGTCCTCATTAATTATGCAAATGACCTCAACATTAACATAATATATGCATAGTATATTAGTGACCGACAGACAGACACACAGTCAGGCCAAAAACAATACCTCCATTTTTCATGGAGGTAATAACGGTGTTTTATATCATTCTGATACATTGATATAGACAATAGCCTGTTTAACGAGTGCTGCATGTTCTGCTTGCTGCAGGAATGGCCTGTGTCGCCCCCTACATGTCTATTTACATGAGACACCTGGGACTGCTCCCATCACAGACAGGTGTGATCACTGCTACTAAAAACTTCACGTCCGCTTTCATCAAACCTCTCTTGGGCAGTATTGCAGACAAGACTGGAAGGTAAGCGCACGTTTGTGTGTGTGTGTCTGTGTGTGTGTGTGTGTGTGTGTGTGTGTGTGTGTGTGTGTGTGTGTGTGCACGTATGTGTTGTTAATGGACTTATTGTTGGTGCTACCCGAGGCTTCCAGACTAAATGTACACGCCTCATACCCAGGCACAAAACAGTGGCCATTCTGACGGTCCTGACAGCCTCTGCTCTGCACTTCTCGCTGTTGTTCGTGCCACCCGTGCCGTCATCATCGGGGCCACAAACGACGCAACTGGAAAGGGCCAAGACGCAGTCGTGGTTCTCCCTGACATTCTGGTTGGTGTTCTGGATCACGTTTACTTCTCACGGTGCTCAATGGAGTGCAACTTCTCAGGTAAGACTGCTCCGATGTTACGTTCCATATACTAGTAAGTGCATGAAGTACTGAAGTACAATTACGCAAGCCTCACGTTTCTTTAGACATGCCACAGTTGTACCTGTTACTGAAAGTTACGAGCCTGTGATTTGGGTTCTGTCTACTTTCTAGCCTCTCTTGTGTTTTCCCGCCCCTCTGTTTTCCCCGAGGGAAGAGTTCCTGAAGTACTGCAGTTAACGTTGTTGTGAACTTCGCTAATCAAGATGTTTGACCGATTTTTACCGTCTTTTAGGTAGAAGCAGCAACGTATCTAATCACAAAGAAGAAAGATGGCTCAACATACGGACAGCAACGCCTTTGGGGATCCGTAGGATACGGCTTGCTTTCCCTGCTCTCCGGGGTTGCTATGGATACGTTCACCAAAAGCACCCTACCAGACAACCCTGGGAACAAGACCGACTATTCCGTGACATTCTACATGTTTTTAGCCTTCATGCTTGTATCTTCCGGCTGCCTGCTCGTCTTGGATGATTGGAGCACGGGACCTTCCGTATCGTTCCTGAAAGGCATGGGCAGCCTTCTATCTCAGATACACTTGGTCATCTTCCTGTTCGCCGTCCTTCTCTTAGGCGCGCAGGACGGCGCAGGGGACACGTTCATGTACTGGCACCTGAAGGACCTGGGCGCCAGTCAGACTGTCATCGGCACCAACATGTTCGTCAGGACGGTCGCAGAGGTCCCACTGTTCTTCGTCTCCGGGTGGTTCATAGACAAGATCGGACACGTGTGGGCCCTGCAACTCAGTTTCCTGACGTTCGCTCTGAATTTCCTGGGTTATTCCTTCATAAGAAACCCGTGGTGGGCGGTGCTGATCGACGTGATACACGGATATCAGGCGGTGACATGGACAGCGGCGACGTCGTACGCGAGCATGTCTGCGCAGGGTGACCTACAGGCGGTCGCTCAGGGCATCGTTTCCGCAACTTTCTACGGACTTGGTGAGAGTCGATGTCTTTTTTATACAAAGTTACACTATTGAAATATTTGCAGTTTCGGTAAAACGCCCAGACCAGTTTGTAATAATTTGCTAATCTTTAAATTACGTACATGGGTTGTTGGAACATGATATTAGTGTGACTCCTTGGTCGGCCAATATTCCTATAGCAAATCATTCAGCCTATTTGGCCAATTTCTACATATTTTTCAGCAAGTGTGTTACAGACTAATGATTCAAATCTAATGTTTGACCTATCCACAGGTTATGGAGTAGGTAACCTGGTCAGCGGCCCAGTGTTCCACCGGTATGGCGCTGTCGTGCTGTTCCGCTCTCTGACTGTCTTCTGTCTGATCGGATTCTTCCTGTTCTACCTGCTGTACAGGTGTTTCGGGAAAAAAGAGAACCCTACAGGTGAGAACGTCATACTGATATACTAGTACGTTCTTTATAGAAGTTGATATACTGATATACTAGTACATTCTCAATCCAAGGCGGACGATTTGTTGAAGAACAAGTGCAGAACTGTCTTCAACATGAGTGGGTGAGTGGTCACTGACTCACTTTGATGAACACAGAAACTGTACTGGAATAAAATTTTGGATCGGCTAGAAATTTTGGGTAAGGTGTTAGGGTTAGGGGTATGACGTAACGGACTAAGTTAATACCACCTTTTTTAAAAATTCTTTTCTACACGAGACCCGGGCACTGATAGAGGAGAGGACACAGTACCGATGCTGGTGTCTGACGAGGACATGCCGAAGCCTGACGCGTTTCTGCACGGCGGGAGTATAACTACTGGGGCCGGCGAGACGCTGGGCTCACTACGGCTTGTCAGACCACAGTTCGAACAACCTGGCAACGAGATAGAACAATTCTCTTCATAACTGGACAATAGTGAACAGAGCGATAAAGAAGTCGAAGTAGTATTGGGCCGACAAAGGAATGGGGGTTGTCGAATTCTTTCTTTAGCACAGTCTCTAAGCTGGCGCCACTGTCACCGACCACTAGTGGAGTTTTTTTGTCAAAATCACCAAAGTCACGTGTATATTTTCATAAAAATCTACGCTATCACAATGAATGGGACCTGTGACCATCTTCCGATATCTAGCTAGATCTAGAAATCGTGCAGTAACCTAGAGAGACACCTGCCCTACTGCCTGCATACCTGTTGTGTGACGCCGTGACTACCATCGATTAATTAAAAGACTTCCTCGGCACAAATGTGTACTTAATAGTTAATAGACATACTAAACCATTGGAATTTTGTAACATAATCTGTTATCCCGCATGCCTTGTGTTTAAGTTCACATGCGTCGACTACTCTGTGAAAAAAGTGTGATAAAACATGTTATCTGTGCCTTCACTATTAAAGGTATAGCACCACACAGTTGTCTCATTGTCTCAATGTATGAAAATGGAGGTATTGTTTTTGGCGCGTCTGTGTGTGTGTGTGTGTGTGTGTGTGTGTGTGTTTGTGTTTCCGAACATTTGAAGTCAGCATAACTTCATAACGCCTCGATGGATTGTGATGATATTTGGTATGCTGGTAAGTCTTAGGAAGACGAAGGGCAAGGTTAAGTATGGGCCTCCTGGTGGATGGCCTTGGTACTGCAGCAGAACATCCGGTTTTTGTATATTTTGTCCTAAACAAGCTATGGTCTTGACTTAGCTTATCCTGTCAGGAATAAGTGGTGTAAGTTTGGTCTCCCTAGCAGCTTGTTCTGGAACTGCAGATTAGTTTCTGGTAAAAACTTTCAAAGTCAATAAGTCCAGATTGGAACAACTTATTTTCATCATTTTTTGGTGTGTAGGTACCTGAGAGAGAGTTGTACATAATTAAATGCAAATTATGCAAATGAGGACTTAATTTGCTTAATTAATGAGGAAATTCTATAATTACAGTGTTTTATATAATGGTACTGCTATACATGTAATCTATTTATCTGTGGCAGGCGGAACATCAACAGATACCAATTATGCAAATGATGACCTAATTTGCATAATTAATGTGAACATTTTGTGACTCCTTATTGGTGAATGATGGGAATTTTATACCTCGTGACATGTGTAAGTTACTTAAAGGTTAGCACCACTATGCATATATTATGTTAATGTAGAGGTTATTTGCATAGTTATGAGGACATGCTGAAATGAAGTATGACAAAGCAAGCCCATATTTCATGGAGGTATGAGATCTCAGAACTCTTGTTAGAACTGTTTTAGTGGCACGTTCCACAGCTGAACTGAAATCCAGAACGAAGCCAATGTGAACAGGTGGTGGTCTCGTTCTCAGGTTCTCACCAGTGCCCTAGACGTTTCCAGTGAGATCATCATGCTCTCCCACCATGTGTTCACCTTGACTTCCCTTCTGTCATCACCAAATAAAGAAACATTTCGTGTCTGATTTGCAATGTCCAGTTCAGCTAAATCAAAATACCTACAGACACACAAACAAGCAAACACACTGAAAACAAAACCTCCGTACAAGCGTCAATCAGGATATAGCAAAGAGACTTGCAAAGAGTCTATGAATCCCCTTCATATAGGGAAATCTAACTACATGTATATAGAAACTGCCGGCAGTCCCTCTGCTTTATCCAGAGAATTTCTGCAGCCAGTCACGGACTTCCTCCGGGCAGTAGTAATCCGGACCCGGCCCGCCCCTGTAAACACACACTCCGTCCAACACGACGTACAACCTGCGGGCAAGAAGAGTGAGCAAGTATTGAGAATAATGAGTAAACAGAAACCCAATCTCTCTTTTTGCTTCAAAGGAACAATTCATTTTCACTTTGTACTGCTGTCTGTGTTCCAATGCAAGTCAGTAGAGGTTACGATATTGAGTGTTGCAATATTTGCTAGCAAATTTTTCATACGATAAATCGGTTGGTCAACAGGTGATCATGATAGAGATCGCAAAGGGGTTATCACTCCGGGTTTAGTGAGTGTAGACTAGTAGAAGTGTAACTCACCTGTCCGGTATCGCTGCGTACGCGCGGGCGGCGACGTTGTCCATGGTGTCCACCAGGATAGGACAGGGGATGTCGTGCAGAGCCAGCATCTCCGCCGCCTTCAGTCTTTCCTCCAGACTCCGGTGCTGCCGGATGTCCATGCCCCCACTCATGACCCAGCCGTCGGTGGGGTGCGCCTCGGCCACGTACACCACCACGAAGTCGGCCACGGCGGCGAAGTCCGACATGATCCGCTTGACCATGTCCAACTTCGCCCGGAACGGTTGTCAGGTGTTGCTGCCGAAGCTGATGACCAGAGGGCGGGCCGCCCGGGCGAACTGGAGCAGCCGGCAGGAGCTCCCGTCAAGCCTGACGAGGGAGGAGTCGGTGGCCTTGCCTCCCTCAAACACCTCAGCCTCCAGATAGGACATCTCCATGGAGATGGTTCCTATCCACGCAGTTAGACTTGTCATTTCGTACAAGTCCTGATAGCATTGCTCAGGAGTTGTCAGCAAACCTGGGGCCACATTGTCTGAATATTTCATATATTGAGACAAAATCGGTCGCCTGAGAGGGGGAAAGAGACATGCCGCCCTTACTAGAATAGAAAAGAGGAAGTAAAGCGGCGTACCAAAGACACAGATCAGCAGAAACCGCACAGTGATCCAAGCTCTGTTCAGGTCAGAGATGGAAGCCATTACACTATATAGTGTGGAATGACGTCAGCTCACGTGTGCATCAACTATGACCCTTTCTTTATTTGATCACAAGACGCAAATCAAACAGCGGAGGGCAAATAAAGCTGTGGATAAACATGTTCCCGTCTGCGTAAGCCTGTATGTACCTTATTTTATTTTTTATTTTATTTTATTTTATGACGATTTACCACATTTGTGGAAGGATTGACATAACAGGTGACAATCACCTCTTCAAAGATGTCAACCCCGAGACCTGTGAGGCTTGACCTTCAGTCAACGAAAAAGAAAGATCAGTGGTTATGCACAAAATGCAAAAGTATAGCATAGGTATAGCAACTTATAGCAAGATATGACGTCTTTGGGGCATAGCTAACAGCGCTGGCATATCAATACAATACACGCAACTCCTTATATTAGGTGGGAAAAGTTGTATGGAATGTGCACATGCAGGGGCACGCGTGATATTAGACTGTAAGACGGCAGTCTATTTCCCAGTCGTGATTTCCAACGTTTTGCAATGCATAAAATCAAACAAACTGATGTAGAACACCGGCTAACTGTCCGAGCGGGCAGTGTTTCGCTGTAGTTGACGCATAACCACAAGGTGGCGCTTTTTGCAATACCATTGTTGCCTGTTTTTGCAAGAATAAATATCGTATAATTTGCTTACTTGTCTTTTTTTGTTGCTTACATCTGACCATTGCAGTGATATTACCACATCGATCTACTTGGCTTTCGTTTCAAGTGCCAGGGTATCCTGGATGACATCAATCTCTAATCTCGGCGATCGTCTCTCTGATCTGAATGCCGGGTGGACGTGATGTAAGTTGGAAGATGGTGGCGCTCTCAGGCTGCCGGGCTTCTCTGACAGCCACTCATCCCAACAGAAATTGGGCACTTCCATACCCCTTTAACACTCCATGATGTTCATGGCCTGTCGGTTGATACATTGTCATTCTCTAGAAACCCCGAATTACACGTACACTTATCATCTTACACTTTGACACACACGTACCATTCCCAACATCCCTCCCAGATCTCAGATGATAGACAAACTGACACAAATAACGGCTGTGAATCATTGTTTAATCAGCACCTTTCCGATTATTTTCACATTGATGGTTTCCATCAGTTTAGGCACGGCCCTACTAATCACACAACTACACTCACCTCAGAGAATGATGCAGTTGATGATATCCAGAACACCTTGGCTAGTACATAGGCCACTACTCCTTCCATGCATTTTGGCATACAATATATGGCTTCACTAAAATCCTGTACCCAAACAGGAAATGCATCTACTCTCCTTCCCAGGGCCCTTAGCAATGTTTGTTTGGGCATGAATAAGCTTGTGTACTTATCTTCCCCTTCAACATCTGCCTGGAGTCCTTTATCACTTAAAGGCACTTAACTGACTGTAAATTTTGTTTGTGATTCACATATCAAATTCTTTCAGTGACAATTTTGACACATTATTTGGCAATAATAAAAAATTTCCCCACAGTATTATTATGACTCCTTGATGTTGCCACAAGTACCACTGCTGATCAGCAGGAGTACTAGTAAATATTCATTGCTGATCGTTTGATTTATTACATGGAATATTATGTGCATTAATCATTCAATGATTTTTCTTTGAAAATAAAAAAGGTTAACATAGAACCTATAATTCACTAGATTCAATACACAATGATAGTGCTGTTTACTATGTAAATAAAAAATGTGAAATACTGGTAGCATGATAATATTGCTTTGCTTTGCTTTGAGCAGAAAGAGTTTAATTCCCAAACTGCACCTACGTATTTCTGAACAAAATGACTACCAAAAGGATGGGACCCAGTCTGGTTGTGAAATATGACAGAGCACATGAAGGCTGGATAAAAATGGTCTCCTTTTGGAAAGAGACACAAACTTCTGCAATGCTTCACACGGTATCTATCAGCTCCAACATGCTGTACTTTACACAGGTTTTCCATTTAATCTAGCACCTTGTGGTCCCTTTGACTGCACAATGATAATAGTGCTAAATAATCATATGATTCAATGATAGTGACACCACAATTTCTTAATAACTTTAAATCTACACAAATTATTCATTACACATTGTAACAACTGCCCAACCCACCCAATTTCCTCTAAGGAAAGGCAGGCAAGAATGCCAAGATTGATACATTTAGATACAAGCTTCTGCCTTAACTTTGCCTGCTCCCTGTCATAGTTCTGTTTTCTTCTTTTTTATCTTGTTTTCATCATTGCTTGCTTTATTTCCAGATGACTTCTTGCTCTTGGCACTGTTGTCGTCTTCCTCCCCTCCCTGTGCAGCGCCCTTCCCAGGGAACTGTTGGTTCTCGAAGCTGACCTCCGCACAGCGGTCCTGCTGGACCAGGAAGTCCCCGACCTCGAATGCCTTGCTGCCGTCCTTCAGCAGGAAGATGACGCGGTCATCCGACACAACATACCTGGTCACCTCGTAGTTTGCGTTGAACAGGCTCGTCTGCCACAGCTGGGTGATCTCTTCCGTCTCCTTCTGGGTGGGGTTGCCGGACACTGACACAAACATCATCAGGGTCCGGCCCTTCTTGCTCATCTTGATGAGATCTTCCGGTCTGTCGGGGTTGAGGTTGGACAGGTCGATCTTGGGGGGCGGGGCGGAGGTGTTCTGGGAGCTCATCCTCCTCCAGCGGCTCCTCATCCTCCTCCCACTGCTCGTACAGCCGCTCCAGGTCCGCGTCCGTGTAGTCCCGCAGGTCCTTCTTGATCTTCTTGTCCTCTGGAATGTCCTTCTTGGTCCAGACAAACGGGAGGATCAGGGCGCAGCTGAGAAAGATCCAGACGTACTTCGCCATATCCGCCCTCAGTAAATATTGACGAAACACCTGTATACGTTTGAGAAGAGGACAGCTCTTTACTCCAGTAGAATTCTTCGCCACACGAAAATCATATAATCTTATAGCCAATATACCCCTGAATCTATGCATATGAGAAACATACAAGGTAGGCTTTTGTTAAAAACACAACGATTATGCATGCACACCGCTGACGTGTCGTTCTGCTATATGCAGGCACGCGCCTCTGTCGTCCGCGTGTAAACAACGTTAACTTACGCTAAGGAGTCGACAAGCTTATATAAAATTGCTGTAAGATAAGTCCTTATAACACACTTACAAAGCACTCCTGTGTACTTTCGAGAAATACGTAAGCTGGATAAGGAAAGAAAATCTAGTTAGGTGGCCCAAGCGCTTTCCAACAACTGACGGAAGTCACTCCCAGTGAAAATTAGTCTCCTCCGCCACCATGTTGGGTCAAGTTGGGTCAAGATCCTCTGCTCGACTGTTCCAAAAGATAAAAGTAGAGGGGATACAACAGCCTTAATGGTCAAGTTATTCAGAAGAAAACAGGAGTTTAGTCCAATTTAGATGAAACTTAAGTACGTAAAACCTAACATTGGACAAACTTTACGAAAAACATTTCATAGGGCAAAAAGAGGGTAACTCCACTCTACACTGATATATTACAGCCCCTTTACATTTATTGAACAGTCCATTCTGCGAAACGTTAACACGCATGCGCACGGAGGAAGCCCGGCCAGTTCGAATTTAAATTTGTATCAAATATTAGTAGACACTACCTTCTCATATTTAGCTGGTGTTTTTAAGCTCGTGTGTTCCTTAATACCTAACTGGAGGTGTTCGGCTGATAGTATAGGTATGGAACCGACGGAAAACAGTTGGGAACTGAGCAAGGAGAACGTCCAGCCGCTGCGACAAGGACGTAAAATCGCCAACCTAACGGCGGCGCTGCAGCCTGTCAATGGCCAAGATGGCGGACTCAGCCGCGTGCAGCAGGAAAAACAGTACGGACAAAACTCTTCTTCACGTTATGGTTGTTGTTTCTCCTGTACTTTCCATGTCTTAAGATTGTTCCATAGTAACTACGAATTATAAGTACATGTAATATAATCCAGATTAAATATTTTTCGATGCTATACCTTCCGGTCTTTTCTTTTACAGAGCCTTCGAGGCTGAACTCCGGATGTACACAGGGGATGATCCGTTTAGTGTCTGGGATCGGTAAGAACATCGTTCTACTAAGAGTTCATAATCACAAATGAGTACATAATTTTTGTAACAGTCTTGGCCTTAGTCTTTACCAGGTATTTGGTATATGATCATTATGCAAAATACCTGGTAAAGACTAACTCAGTATGAGTATTATACTTCTTATTCTTCTTATTCTTCTTTACCAGGTATTTTGCATAATGATCTATTTCTTCTTCTTCCTATATTCATCTAGTTTATTTATTCATCTAGTTGAAAATTCTATTGCCTATTTGTCTATAATAATAATAATAATAATAATAAAAAGACTAGCCGTGGACGACTCTGGTAATCCTCTTTGCATGATAATGCCGGATACAGAGTCGTGGTGCACTCCATTGGCTAGCCGTGGACGACTCTGGTAATCCTTTTTGCATGATAATGCCGGATACAGAGTCGTGGTGCACTCCATAGGCCAAAACCAACCTTTGCCGTGCCGGGCCTCATGCAACAGGCCGGCCCCGGATTTTTGGTGTCCCTGGCTTCCCGACGCACTCACCTGCCGGGCCGGGGGGATAAGACCCTAAACAAACGCAGCATTTAACCACAACACGGCCTCGGAGCACGTAACTCCATATAAATCATCGGCGATCGGCGCCATTTTGAATTCAGGAATCGGCCCGCAAAACAGGTCGGGCCCTGAGTTTACGACAGATTACGTCATTATTTTCAACTCTCCAAGCTGCGGGTATCATGACGTAATCTGTCGCTTCCACTATTGCATAAACTATATATGTTATAGTGCCATTGGTGTAGTCAGTGCCATACTGTCTATGATTCCTTCTAGCAACCCTCCTGGTCCTGGAGTCCTGGAGTCCTACTGCACTGGTTAGACAGATACTAGTATTAGGGGCCCCATAGAGTTATGAGACTGTGTTACACAGGCTACCATAATTTCGAACTTTTTAAAGATAATATCCTCCCAACTTTGAATTAGGTACATCAAGTGGACGGAGCAGAACTTCCCAAAAGGCGGGAAGGACGGAAACCTGTCCACCCTGCTGGAGCGCTGCCTGCTGTTCTTTAAGGACGACAAGAGATACTCCAACGACCACAGATACCTGCAGGCCTGGATCAAGTTTGTATGTACATATCTTACTTACATTGAACAACACGACATGTACATAAATTAATCATGATATAATCCTAAAAGAAATAGTTTACAGTTCCGATAAGATCTCTGAAATCACAATACGATTTAAATTCAGAAACCTCGGTCACCTGCAAGGCCATATTGGATGTAAGAACTTACTGCTAAATCATGTTCATCTCTCCCTCCCCTGTCCTGTCCAGGCTGGCATGACCAACCAGCCCATGGACATCTACAACTTCCTGCATGACCAGGCCATCGGTGCACAGGTGGCACTCTTCTGGGAGGCCTGGGCCTGGGAACTGGAGCAGGAGGGAGACACCAAGAAGGCCGACGCTGTGTACGCAGA